AACAATCTCCTCAGGAATTTCCAGATTTGGAAGTGGAGGTAATGGCCTGAATCACAACTACTAATCAATACTCATCGTTTTCATAAAATCCAAAACCACATATGCACATCATTTTCGATTTTTTCACCCAAAACAGAAAATCCTGGTAAATACCATTAAAAAAAAATCAATGAAATATCTATCTTTGATGTATATGATCCATCGAGGAATTTAAGACAAATCAAAAACAACATTCATAACTAAAATTACGAAATCCGTTACAATTTCACATAAAAATCAAATAACAATAAAATAAATAACAAATTAGACAAACAAAATTGAGAGATGTAAAAAAAATAAGTTAGAAAAGGCATAAATTAATTACCGATTGAGAAGGGAAGCAGATTTAGCCCAAAAGAAGAGAATACAAACAAGAAGGAACAAGACGTTAGCCCCAAACGATAATAAATTGTAACCAGATTTCTCAAATAAGATCCACAGAGTTGTCGCTGACAGTAGAACACCAATACTTGCATACCATCTCTTCCATAACAGCACATCAGCCACTACACCAAAAATTAAATTACGCGTTCATATAGAATCTGTTTAGAATCAAAATGATCGACGAAGGCATGGTTTTAATGCATGTATAATGTACAAAATATACGGATACCTGTGCCGCCACCGAGAGCTTGATGGACGGAGATGCGAAGAGCAGTTACGGAGTCGCCCATTGTGATTGAAGTTTAGGAGTCGACGTGGCTAATTTGATGAGATGACAAAAATAAAGCGGAGCGAGAGAGGATACAGAAGAAATAACTGACGTGGCCAGCGCAAATCCTTCTACTTCTTAACTAACGTCCCATGAGCACGAAAGTAGACTGGGCCTGGGTCAACTTGGAATCAGCCCAGGGATTGCTCCTCCTTTTCTTTTTCAGTTTTAACTTAAAAAATGTTAGACATCGTTAGAGAAGTTAGTTTTCTCACCCGCCCGTACTAAAAAAAATGTTAGACATCGTTAGAGAAGTTTTCTCACCCGCCCGTACTGATAATTATACATTATATTATTCATAAAGTTAGAACCCCTCAGTGTTTTAATGTCTTTGATCGTGGATTATTAACGGTGCAATTCATGATGATTTTACCCTTCAAGAATAAAAAAATTAAACACAAACTCAGGGCTATAATAATATTTTCACACTTTATTGCATGATGTAATTATGCTCATGAAAAAAAAAACCAAAAAACAACACGGCTTGTAATTGATTGGCTTTATTTGATTTATATATTTTTGGTTTTTTTTTTTTTTTTGCCTAAGGTTCAGAAGCTTTTTTTATGTTTTACCTATGTTTTCTCGCAACTATTGCATCGAGCCAAAAGTGTTCTAGTTTTTTGATAAATAAAAGAAGTTGGTGGCATGTCTGATGCTTTTTGGTGGCTGTTGGTCGCCTTTCAACGATGCTTATGAAGCATTGTATCACCCTTTATATAAGAAACAGGCGCGTGTCAACTTCCATGGTATAGGAGAGCTTCGATGACAATTCTTTTCATTTTTTCTCTCTCTCTTCTTTACTTGAAAAGATACGTTGTCTTGGTAAAATTATTGAGTAGTTTTTAATCTTTTAATTATATTTTATTTTATTTATTTATTTTATTATTTAATATTTGATTTTAATTTTTTTAATCAAATTTGATCTTTATTTTTTTTATTTTAATTTATTTTAATTTTAATATTTTTTTCTAAATGGATTTTATTTTTCTATTTAATCCCTGATCATTTTATTTTATTTTTTTATTGAATTTGATCCTCATTTTTATGATTGAAAATATTTTTTATTTTGTGTTTTTTTATTGATTTTTTAACAATTTCATCATTCATTATTTAATTTCATTAATTTTTCATATCATATTCAATACTTTTTTTTTTATTGTGCTTGTAAAACCTGGCTCAAGAATTAATCCTTATCATTTCTCGGGTCACAAATTTGGTTGAATGACTCGTGTTACTAAAGTCAATTTTTTTATCGTGGAATAAGTAAAAAATATATTATTTTGATATAAAAAATAATGACAAAAAAATAATTAATAGATTTTGACATGATTTTTCTCTATCTAATCTAATCGCTTGATTTTTTATTTGGCTAAGAAGTAAAACTAATATTATTTTGATAAAAAAAATAGTGGACAAAAAAAATTAACTATAATCCCTTTTCTTTTGATTGAATTTTCTTTGTTTTAATTTCTTTTTAACTTCGTTCCTTTTCATTTTATTATTTATACACATGAGGTATGATATTCATCCTCTTGATTATTGTTTTTTTAGTTTTTTTTTCTTAATATTTTTTTTCTTAATATTTTTTTTTCAGAATTTAATGCTCATTTTTTAATTGTTTTTTTTATCTTTTTTTTAATTTGTTTTTTCTTTCAATTTTGTTCCTCGTCATTTTATTTCACTTGTTTTTTTTTATCTGATATTGGTTCTTATTCTTTTTATCCCTTTGTTTTTATTAAGTCCCTCATTTCAATAGTTTTTATATTAGATATAGTACTTATTATTTTGATTACTATTTATTTCTTTTTAATTTTTTAAAGGTTAAGAATTTTGTTCAAGATTTTTTTTTTATTTTCTAAATGATCATTTTATGTCTCACGATTATAATTGTTGGTTTTGAAAATTAGCTTGATTTAACTCTTTTTTTTTAAGCTAATCATTTAATATTATACTATTGGGCCTTACGATTTCTATTATTTTCTTCTTTCTTTTCTCTAGCTTGGATTGTGGATTAGTCAATTTAACCCGGGTTTTTCAAAGTTATACCATTTGTATATTTTTTTTATATAAAAAAAAAACTAACCAGCCATGTTCACAAGAAATTAGCTACAAATGATAATTATTTTTTAAAGAAAATAACTCCATAAATTAAGCATCTCATGTTTACTCTCGAACAATTAATTTAATTTGACTTAAAAGTAAATTTTATTTTAAAAAAGCTAGATTCAATAAAGGTAAAAAAAAAAAGTGAATTAACCTTTATTACTTTCGAAATCACAAGAAATTATAATAGAAAATGAATAAAAAGATGTTGATGGACGAATCTTTTAAATAAATAAATAAATGAAACAAGCCTGAGTCAATCTTTTAATATGCAATCCGCTGTATTGCAGATCTAAGATCTAAGATAAACTAAGAAGTTCTATACCTGTCTAGTAAATCCCTGAAGATAAAATTAATAAATTTAATTTAATTAAAAAATAAAATTTATTTTAAAAAGCTAGAGTTAATGAAGATAGAAAAACAATTGAGGCAACCCTTGTTATTTAAAAAATAAAAATAAATCCCTTAAAAAATAAAAATAAATCCCATAAAAAATCAAATAAAAATAATATTAAAAAATAAAATTATAAATAAAAAACTAAAAAAAAAAAGAAAAAATCCAAGTAAGCTCAAGTGAAACTTGTAAACTCGGGTTAAACTTTTGAACTTATCATTCGTTAAATTTTAATCTTTTGCAAAGTGAATAAAAAATAAAAAATAAATAAAGATAAAATCTTAACAATAATAAATCTGATTTGATTTTTTTAAAGCTGACATGAAAATTAAGTGGAAAAGATGAAAAAAAAAGAAGCAAAAAGTCACATACGCCAAATTAACATTAATTATGTTACACACGCCACTTGTATATAAAAAAGACGCTGACATGCGTTAATAGCTACCCTGAAAGCAATGTTTTGGCCCCAAGACGAGACCTCATGCGTCGTACAAACCTGACAGACACTATTCACACATTTCTAGTTTTTTTTTTTTCTTTTATTTATTTATATAAATATCTTGCTTCTCCCATAACATTAATAATTACCAAATAACCAAATATAAAAGATAAAAGAACCCGTGAATTAAAAGAAAAACTTTTTTCAACTTCAAAGACAATAAAATAAAGTAATTTAACTATTTTAAAATTAAGTCAATGATTAAAAATCTTTATAATCAAAGTTTAATGTTTTTTTTAAAGTAATTAAAAATAATTACATTGTGAAATAAAAATACTAAAAAACTATTTAACACCGCTCATATTTATAATAAATAATGAATCTCATGGAAAAGGTCACTCTACTCCTGAGACAAAGTTAAATGATTTTTCAGTAAAATAATAAATTCACTTTGGAAATCTAAATTCAAAATATTGAAATGTGAGTGCGTGCTGTAAAAACTTGAGGTCCTATTCGGTGAAGAGTACTTGTGTAAGGCTTCGGAAAGTAATTCTTGCTTGGTTCGTGGGTAGATATATATTGACTCAGGGTAGATAATATACCGCAACGGCAGGAGTTCTAGTTCGTCCATAAGGTGTTATTAGGTGAGGTCGATTGTATTTGGATGTGCAAATTAATTATTAAAACTTATTTAAAATTGTGATTGTAATTATTTTTAAAAATATTTTTTATTTTAAAATATATTAAAATAATATTTTTTTAGTTTTTAAAACTAATGTATCAAAATAATTTAAAAACATCAATTTTTTTAATTTTAAATAAAAAATAATTTTTTAAAAAATACTTTTAAAATATAAAAACAAACAATTATATAAAAAAAATCAGGCCAGAATACCTGCCCGTATCAGTTAAATACTTCGGTTTTGAGTTTCGGATTCCATGGCTGATGACAAATTAAAAATTAATTGCACTCTGAGTTTAGCCAGGCGCATTAGAGCCAGTGCCCCAAGGTGCTTGCTGATTTATGGCATTTTGATGAAAGAACACAATCCACATGACAAGGCCATTTGGGTGGTCCTTCAAATGCATTCAATCAAAATTAACTCTTCCCTAATCTAATTTCATCTCTCTTTGGAGAGGCACTCCACTAGTTACATGCAAGGGAATCTGACTCGAATAAATTAGGAAGTCAGAGCACAACTTCAAAGCTAGTTGAGGTCATTTCCCTAGCTCTCTAAAGATTCTGGCAGGAACCCAGCTTGAATCTAACTTCGGACAAAAAAAATTGGGTAAAAAGCTTGTTATTTTTCTGTTTAATTGCCATCATCAGAGTTCGCTTCATCATCTGAAGATTCTTCTTTCCGGTGCTCTTCTCCACCACCTTTTGGTTCCATCTTCTTCTCCCTTTTCCTTTGCCTTTCCAAACGCTTTTTCGCGGTGCGTTCCTCTGCAGCTTTCATTCTTTCCTCTCTTCTCGTAGCAAACTCAGCTATTTCCTTTCGTCCCTGGTAGCCTGCATCCATCCTTGCAAGCCTGTCCTGCTCTTTCCGTCTCATTTGCCGATACTGTTGCGACCAACAAAAATTTAGAAGAACAAAATATTGAGTCGCGAATATGCAAACGTATATCCTCACACAGGCATACCACGCACACACATGTTTTGCTGCTTCACGAAATGACATATTTAAATGTTAAACATAGAGCACATGGAAGATACAAAACAACATGGAATTTTTGATAAGTTTAACCGACATGATTCTTCTTTCAGTGGTACCAAATACAACTTCCATACCATGCATGCAACAACTGATCCTCTATCAAACTCAGTATCCTTCCGAGAAGAAACAATCACATCTAGTAACAGTAACTTCATTAAATAAAAAAAACTGATATATTTAGAATTTATAAAATTAGTCTAGATGCATCCTAAATATTCACATTAAATAAAAAAAATATATTCATTATAATTTTTTAATATAACAAGTCAAGATATAAAATATAGGGTAAAAAAAAAACAAGTATTAATATTGTTTAAAAAATGTGAGTTAATATCAAGATGTAATTTCATAAAACTTGATTATTTTTTATATTTTAATCATTTTTTATTAAACTAGTTTTAAATTTACTCCCATACTTTTTCTGGATGAAAAAGTTCATACTTTTTTTTTTGTTTTTTTTTCTACTGCTATTAATATTAAAAAAAGAAATTTTTTTGTACTTAAAAAACTCATCTAAACAAAAAAATTCATAAAATTTTTACTCATGCGTATATTTTATATTTTATATTACCATATATAATTAAATATTAAAAATAATAAAATTATATTATAATTCAGTGAGCTATTAAATTGAGTGTGTGTGTGGGGAGGGGGGGTGGAGATAAATGGTTTTATTCTTATCTAGTATTTTTATTTATTTTCTTAGAATTAATTTTAGCATTTTATAAAAATTATCAATGGATATGCTAAATGTACTTTAAATAAGCGATGATTACAGGCCAACTGGAGTTTTGTAGAACGTGAAAATTGAAACTAAAAAGGCCCACAAGGCATTGCAGAGAGCAGAAGACCATTAAAATGCCATGGTGAACTATATGGTGGATTCTGGATGGCAATGGGTCGGACAGGGTTCGAGCTTGTCTCCCCAGCTAGACAGTTTATGTTCTGAACTAGGCTGGGTTGGAATGGATATTGCACAATTTGAAGGGCCAGGTGTCATCTCTGTATATACTTAGGTGCTGTTACGCGTGTATACTCCGGAGTTTGGTGATGTCTTTATGGTGTTAAAAAACAATAAAGCATGAACATGTTACTGTATCATATTTATCTCGTTATTAATTTTTTAATTTATAATGATCCTCCACTATATTTTTCTTGGTTTATCACTATTTTACACGCTAGTGCCACGTTGCAAATAGGAATATATACATATAAAAGTTATATAACCTATTTGATATTATTATTAAATATCTTCTAATAGATTAATCTTGTAATTTTTTTATCCAACTCATTAGTTAGCCTAAAATTAAAACTAAATTATATGGAAGCTAGCTAGACATTATCCATTTGAATTAATTAGTTTAAATATAACTTGATTGATCAATAAAAAAATAAACAAGAAAAAAATAAAAAAAAAATAAAATTAACATGAAAAAAACCTTAAGACTTCTCACTTGTTTCAAATTTAAAATTAAATTATACGAAGTATTTCAATGTGATTCAATTAATTTGATCATTTTAAAAATAAGCTAATTGATCCATGAACAAATTTTTATGATGAAATTAAAAAAAAATGAGTGAAATTAATTGAAAAAAACCTTTCTTGTCAAATTATTTATCTAACTTAAATTTAAATTTAAATAATATGATAGTTATTTTCAATGTAATTTAATCAATTTAATTGCTCATAAAATAACTTGGATATTTATTAAAAAAAATTGATGATCTTTTTCGCGTCTTATAGTTGTGTTAGGGTAGTTTTGGACAGAAGGCAATCAATTAAATTGCCACATTTCAGATTTTTATTTTTTTATGTCAAGTAAAAAAAAATAAAAATACTAAAATAAATATTTAACCATGATAAAAAATACAAAAAAATATTTGACCACATTTTTTATTTTTCCTTCAATTTCTTGCTTTTTGAAGATAAAAAATTCAAATTTTGATATGTAAAAAACAAATTAAAACAGTGTTTGATATTATAATAATAATTATTTTTTAAAATATTTTTTATTTAGAAATATATCAAAATATTTTATTTTTTATTTTTTTTAAGTACTATTTGATTTACCTATCCTCTTATTGTTTATATCCATTAATTCTGTAACAATCCAAGCAAAATATATTTTCTTTATATTTAGGTAGACAGTGTTTGGGAATGCGGTTGAACCTGCATTCTTAAAAAATTTAAATTTTTTTTATTTTTATTAAAATTTAGTATGGTTTGTACGTTTTGGATCATTTTGATATGCTGGTGTTAAAAATAAAAAATATTATTGGCATGTATTTCGGCACAAAAAAGTTATTTAAAAAGTAACCACTACTACACTGTTAAACACATTTTTTGAAGAGGATAAACCTAAAAAAGTATACTCAAATTACAAAGAATGTCTCAATTTTACCACCATACAATTTACAATTTTAAAAATATTCAACTGAAGACTTTTATTTATTCTAAGTATCTAATTAATATGAGATCATGTCAAATAATATTTCACATATTTTGTTCAAATTGTAAGTCTCCTTCTATAAAAAATAACATTATCTCAGATAAGATTTAACATATTTATTATGTGATTTCAGTAAAATTACTATTTGAGAAATCAAACTAATCTTAGGATAAAATTGATATAAAAGACAGTTTAAATGTAAAATTAATAATATCTCTAAACCTATTTTTTACATCATTTTCACCTCCAAGTGCTTTAGAATCATCTCAAAAATATTACAAATTATTTGAAATCTCAAAACATGCTTTAATCAACCAAAACACAAACAACCACCAAAATGATTGATAATTATAAAAAAATCAAATATAAAAGATCATACTGTATATATTCATATTTAAAAAAAAAAAGAATCGCATTTCATTTCTTAAAAAGTCAATGTCGTTTTTGAGGTTTTTAATATAACCACCACATCGTTCTAGGCTCTTTATAATAGTAATGAATTTATTGTGAAAAGCAACTCTCCTAGTATCCTATTCCTGCTCGAGTAAATAATCAATCAAGATAAATGCATGATTTACTTCTCATGTGCATTTGAGATCGTTTTTAAAAAATATTAATTTTTCTTTTAAGCAGCATAACTATTCTCATAATAACTTTTATGTTAATAGAGAATAAATCTTTTTTAAAATGATATTAAGAACACACCTTAATTATACATGGACTTATTATATTTACAAAAACTTAATTAATATCTTTTTTTTTAGATTTGAGTACAAAAAGTGTATTTTGTAAATCTAAATTAGTTAATAAAATCCTGGTAAACTATTATAAAAGATACATAATCTTATTCGAACTCGAGATTTGTTGTGCAGATCTCAAGTCCTTTGCTATCACAACACACTCATTGAAGGTTTAATTAATAACTTGAATGTTGGTTTAATAACTTGAAATTGTATGCTACTTGTTTTTTAATTTTAAAAATTAAAAAAAATAATTTTTTTTATTTTTTTATTTGTTTTAAATTAATATTATTTTAGTATTTTTAAATTATTTTAATGTGATGATATCAACAAATTATTTTAATATATTTTTAAATAAATAATACTTTAAAAAACAATTATAATCATATTTTCACATATTATCTAGTTAGATTTGAAAAATCCTTTTTATTTCCGTACCATATAAATCAACATTGTACCAGAAAACAAAACAAACAGCAAATTTTATGTATGATATAAACATGTCCAATCAATATTCGTTTGAGGCTTGTAGTATGATTAAAATTGTATTTTATTTTAATTATAATTTTGAAATATTTAATTAATTAATATATATTATAGTTTTGCATGAATTTCACTATTTTTTTCCTTTAAAATCTTAGCTAATCAATACACAAGTTTGATTAATCAACATATTCTAGCTTTTCTAAAATTTGTTTTCTCAATCAATCTGTAACCAAAAAAATTAAAAATAAAAAATAGAAGATGCCAAACGCCCACTTACCCACTGCTTTTCTATGCCGAAGGTCTTCAAAAACTATTTTTCTAACACCTCGATCTGCGTTTTTTTATCCTTTACAACAACATCACCCTTAACTTTCTCAGCCACATAAATACAAATTCAAAGTGGAATCAATTAATCACCGGCTTGAGACATTGAAGCATCATCATCACTCTCGATTGCAATCAAGATAGCAACATGTGCAATGCTCGCGAAAAGCAAGATCTGTTTTTATTTATTTATTTATTTAACTGGTAGGAAGACATGTTTAATCAGCAAGGGAAACATCCTCTATCGTTCCCTACCATGTAAATATCGTTTTTATAGTTGTTTCCATGTCTTATTCCCCACCGTCCAACGCACTTTAATTTCAAAAATGAGACATTCCTATCTGCACCTGCTTGTTTTGTTTTTATATATGCGAGATGGGCACAGTTTTGTTGACTGCTATGCGTCTTCTATCTAGAGAGCTGATGATCTGCAAGTTTCAATATATATATGTATATGGCCACGGGTCATATATATTTAATTGGTAAAAATAAAAGTTGCAAGTTGATAGTAATTGCATAGATAAAATCCCCGTCTTGATTCTTTTCCGACAATTTGCAATGAGAGCAGCAACATGTGAGAGCCCAGAGAGAGGAACACCACACCATTTTGTTCTGAGAATGGAACATCCTTGATTATTCGTTTACACGTGCATATTGCTTGTATGATAATCTAGTTATATCAGTGTCCATAATCCGATGCGCTCTGCAATGAAAATACATCTCACTTTATGCAATAAGATTACGGTTTCCATCATCGAGCTATGCATCAATCGTCCATTAACTGTCCAGCTCTTCTCCACGATCATCGGTGCTGCAGCTGGAAATTGTCTGTAGTGGCTTGTGCAATGCTCCTAGGCATTGAATATACAATGCCCTTTACAGCCTCCTCGTGCTTCCTTCGACATTCCGTGACATTAGGATTAATTTACTGTAAATGTCAATGAATTCCACATATAATCGATAGCAAATCAGTTGATTTCAAAGGGCATCTGTACATTTCTGCTACCAATTTAAACCTGATATACATTTTACGGTGCATGCAGTGACGCGATAACTTGCAATGTTGTTTTTGATTTGTTAACAAAAACAACTATACAAAGCAGAAACTCAATTTTGCAAAATCTAAACGGTGGTTAATAGATTATGCAATTGCGT